GAGTGTTAATTCTTTTTAGTTATTATCCAACTGTTTTTCTTATCAACAGATTTAAATTTCGTAACAGTAATTTCCTCGATTATGGAATATTTGTGTATGTAATTTATTTTACATCAATGTCATTTATATTTCACGATGTTTAAAACTAATGTACTGGTCGGCTAACCGTTGTAGTTATTTCTTTTGCTTTAACGGCCCGATAGTCCAATAAAGACATACTATAGTGTAACAACAATTACCAAAAATTTGATAAATACTAATTCTTTCATTCAGAAATATGCTGTTTGATTTAACGAAGTAATCTAAGCTTTATACCGTTCTATAATATTACAATAAAACTTAAATTATTTGAGTAATTAAGTTTCTTTCATTGAAAAAAATCAAAAAATATTTAAATAATTAAAAGAAATACGGAAAAAAACTGTAATTAGTTATTTCATTAATTTCTCGACCTTTTTACAATAGTCAGGGTTTAAGTTTAAAATTAACCCTTGCATTAATAAATAGTAGCATCGCATGTGACCGAAATTACACCAATTCATTTTATCTAACCCAAAATAAAAAAAACTATTACATCGGGAAGTAATCGAACCCAAACCGGTCGCGTGGCAGCCGAACATTCTTAAGGTGTTTTCTACTAGGACGAATAATAAAGTAATTTAAATTATATTGTATCTGCCTTAACGGCAACATTTACATGATTTTTTTGTACACGTCCATGGCACAATAATTAATTTGTTTAAATACTAAAAAAATGTTCAATGTTCTCTTGTGAATATTTATAACTTTTTGGGGTAATCAGATTCGACTAATACCTACAGAGCTTTTTTTTCTTGAACTAAATAATAAAATACGAAATGTAAAAGAATATTCAAGGAAGAAAAGGAAAATGAATTACCTGGATAGAAATAGTTATTAGTTAAAGCATCTTATTACTTGATATAACTATGATTTATTTCATTACCCAAGTTGACGAGGTAATTAAGAAAACAAAAGCAAGTAAGCAAACTGCCTGGAGAATAATAATTTCGATTTATGTAATCATTCCACTGCAAATAAGTGTTTTTTACTTTCTCGGGAGAAAGTGGTGATGATAGTGTGAATGCGTAGGATATGGCCATCCCGTGAATAGTAATTTGCGTTCACAAAGTAAAAGTCGAATGTGGGAGATCACGTTATCAGCAAAGAGTACATCAAAAAGTGACTATCGTCACCCACTGTGTAATAATAAAGTAATGGTATACTTAAAAGAAAACATGCAATAGATTTCGTGAAGAAATTTTAAATTCTCAAATTCACTTCCTCTATTTACAAACGAAATGCTTGATTCTTGGTACTTTTTTGTGAATTTTGTTTCACTTAAAAAAAAATCGGAAGCTTAAGTACAATTATATCATTAAATATAAATGATAATGAAATTCCCCATTGGTGACTGTTTATTAGGTTCAAATATCCATCCGACAAACAAATTAACAGAAACTTATCGAGACAACAAGCAATAATCGAGTTAATGTTTATAAACACTAAGATGATAATTTTATGAACAAATAATTTCTTTACTTTGAAAAGTTACACAGCAAGGATAACTTTAAAAAGTACCGATTTATAACAATAGTTTTTACTTTTTCCAGACAAAAACCATTTAAAAGCTCAAGTACATGAACCCCAAGAATCATCACCTGTAGCTTCAGAAGCTGAAAAGCCAGCAACGCCTTCGAAACCGAAACTTTCTTCTGGAAGAAGAAAATTCAATAAAAACGATAACGTCAATCAAGATGCAGAAGTGTCTTCTTCTGCACCAGCAAGGACGAGCAGAAGATTCAGAAACTAGTCTCTTACAATATAGGTAGATCATCAAAACAAATACGTTTGGAAAAAAAAAATCAGCGTTATTTTTCTGTAACTACACATAAATTTAGGGAGGCGTCACACTGGGCGAACAAAAGTGAAGTGAAACAAAAAAAGAGCAGCGCGAGCCGTCTAACGAAAGACGGACTGACGCTCGATAGTCAATCATCAATACAGCCTGTACCGCTTTTTATTACCTTCAAATTTACTCGCTCAGTGTGAATAGTTCTTTACTCTTCCTTTTTGAAAATATTAGGTAGTGAAAACCACAATTTCAACCGCAAAAAAATGCGTTTAGCCATTATAATGCCATGGAACTTTTTATAAAATCTTTCTGAGAATCCTAGCTCGTCGTTTCGTGTTACAATTTTTAAAAAGAAACCTTTACGAGTTTTTAATAATGAAATTGATAATTTTAAACTAATCACAGCGGTACTGGCTCCTCAGGCGGCTTGGTGACCTTTGGGGTGCATCTATCTAGAAGAAGAAGGCCGACTTTCATAGACAGGTAATTAGTAGTGCCACTTCTCTCTATATCAGTGACCTTTCGCGTTCGATTATTATCGTTATTATTTTTATTTCCTAACGTCGTGTACGACCTAAACGCTTAATAAATTGAAAAGTGAAATTAAAGCCTCAAGGACGGGTATGAAAACAGGTATAACTGCGTGCCATACTTTGTACTATTTGATGAAAACAATTATGACGCGAACCAGCTAGGATTTTGTGGAAGAGCAGCAACAAGAAGACAAAAAAATATCTTGTAAAATATTTAGAATGTAAGGTGAAATTTTTAAAAGCAAACTATTTTTACCTTCCCCTTTTTTTTATTTTTTATCTGCTTGATTATCGAAAATAACTTTCTCTGTAAATGGTTACTTACAATATTAGTAATTTTTTATTAAGCAGTATCTACATGGTGCTATCTCAAAATTGCTTTTGTCAAGCAATACTGTACATAAATTATAAATACTTAAATATATAATAAATACATGTACACAAATAAGAGATGATGTTTTATAAGAAATCAAATGTTT